ACAACGCCTCATTGTGTAAGTACCTAAGATTAATTATTAAATATATACCATAGCGCAAGTTTTGCAATGGCCACTTTGACACGAATTGCTGAATAGCTTCGAATAGCTTGAGCTTTAGCAGATGACTGTTAAATGTATCACGTTTGCACTTTAAAAACTCCCAAATAACTGACGCTACAGGACTAACTGGCCCTGCAAATCTTCTTTTGTGACACTGTTTTATGACTGACTGTTCTATTATTGTGTTCTTTCTCAACGATTCGACGTTTTCGAGTTATAGTTGAAGAAATATTATTTGTACCGATGAATGTTATCTCTTGGAACGGGTTATCCTTTCTATTACAATACAATAATAAAACCATTAACATTTTTACTCAAAGCGTACATGGACTTAATGATCTTGGTCCATGCATCAACTATAGAGTTTTTTAAATGGGACAGTATGGTCAAATCTAAAACCATAGAGGTACTGATCGACTCGGTTTCATGTCAGGACCATTTCATTGTATGAGGCGAAAAAGTCAGGACATCAGACAGAAGTTGGTCGAATTTAAATGTTAATAAAATAATTTATTTATTTTCGAACTTGTCTTAGATGCCTACTAAAGACAAAAGAAAGGTAGCCGCAATGAGAGGAAATTGGACTGCAGAAGCGGGTGTGTAATGGAAGATATAACAACAAATAATCTATTTTCACTTTGTATAACAACATTTGATATAATTTCTACGGATATAATCACTCACTGTATACAATCAACGAAAGGTATAACAACATAAGGCATAATTTCAATGTGTATAATAATCCGTCAGTAGGTTTAATAAACATTAGATATAATGATTAGGTGATATAATGAACAAATGGTATAAGTACTACCAGTATAATGTATTAAATAATATAACACAGTATTTCGTTTTACGAATAGTTGAGGCGCTCTATATTATGTTGATTTTGAAGAATTTGAAGAATTTGTTTATTTCATTAAATGCTATCGCAAAATATAATTGTTTTTTATAGCTTTAAGTGATTTTTGTGTTATAAAATATATTTATTAAAACTTTAAGCAGAATATTTAATTCCATATACTAACCTAACCTAAACCCACAGGAGGAGGTCGAACCAACTAGCAAATGCAAACAAATGCAGTTCTGACACTCTTCGGCCGCTGCCGCATCATGCTCGCTGCGCTCGCTCGGCTCGTGCAGCTTTTTCACATACTAACCGAACCTAAATCCACAGTTGGAGATCGAACCAACTAGTAAAGGCAAACAAATTCGGTTCCGGCACTCGCCGGCCGCTGCCGTAGGATGCTCGCTGCGCTCGCTCAGCTCGTGCAGCTTTTTCATATACTAACCTAACCTAAACCCATAGAAGGAGGTCCAACCAACTAGCAAATGCAAGCAAATTCGGTTAATTCACCATTGCACCTAAAGACCACTCAAATTATATTAATAATACATTATACTCAGTGAATGTTATATCTGAAGTGTTTATATAAAAATGAACATTGTGCCATCGGTGTATTAGATTGAAAGTTGTTATTATATCAATCGTCTATCATACACAGTGACCTTTATATCATGCAGCAATATGTCAAATGTCTGTACTAAAAATATGTCATTTGTTATATATTACGAACCGCACCCCTGCGGATCATTAAAAGCAGCTATTAATGCTTAGGAAATATCCCAATACCTGAAAAGGGACCGAAATGTTGGGTTGGTTTAAAAAAAAACAAATATACGCGACTTCAATCCGGGAAAATAGTCTCATTTCATAAGTGTAACAAACGCGAAAATCTAAGAACTCGATAGCTATTAATGCTGCTGCTGCTGCTGCTGCTATGAAACCTGTCTTATAGAAGACTTGCTCCAATGCGTCGTATGGCACTTTTGGGTCACGAAAACTGTAGGTACCTACTGACCTACCTTTTTTTTTTTTTTACGATGGAGAAATGCTTTATGCATGCCACCGAGCTAGGGAGGCTCGGTGGTTATGTGGGACTCTCCCCCCTAAGTGGGGGGCATACCGCACTAAAACTCCATCGGCGTTACCCGCAAGGCCGGGTGTTGTGGGTGCCGTGGGATCCCGAGGATTCGACCACAACGACACCCCCGGCCGCCCTAGGCTTTCGCCAGGGTCCCCGCGCCATTTCGGCACACCTACTGACCTACCTACGACATGTATTTATTCTAAATGCGGCCTGAAGAAAAAAGAAAACTTAAAATCAGAGAAAACGTTTAAGGATAAATACAAAGTGTACCTACTGAACGCACAAAACCAAGACACAATTTCTTAATTGCTATTTATTTTTACTTACCAAATGGTTTTCTACGCTCGGCATATGCGACACCTGCGGCAGTCAGTTCTTTTGCTTGTTAGATTTTTCTCCTTCTTTTCTTTTTACTTTTTTACAAGCTCGATTACCGGGTTTCAGGTGGGGATCTTATCGTTTTGTTATTTTAATTTTAGTTGTTTTTCTCTCTGCAATATAAACATATTTACAATTAATTATTGGGAATCAATATTGTTTCATTTTAATTCATTATTAATACATCAATGTTTATTCAATTTATATAATAATATAATGGTTTGGAAAATACTTACCCAAATGTTTATATTGAAAAAATGCATTACGAAAGTGCACTATTCTGCTGCGTCATACACTCCGGCGAGCGACGCGAGCGTCGGTTTGGGTATGCAAGAGATACGCATCGGAACAGGTTGTTGCCTATCAAAAAGTCACCCACACCCGCACCCCGCTTCGATCTCCTGTATCGTCCGCGCGGACGCCACACTTCACAAAACTAGACATTATCCATTTATTATCATTTACGTATTTCTATATAGTTATATGTACAACATTGTTATATTTATATTTATTATTGTATTATTATTACTATTTCTATTACTCTCGTAGGTTTGCTATCTCTTTAGGTTTACTTCTTTTTCGATTTTATTATCATTGTCAGTGACTCACTCGCCCGGGCTTGCTGAAAATCAGTGCCACGACACGGTAAACAAACCGGTTGTGGCTAAAGCTGAGCAAGTCCCGTTTGCACTAGTCGCGACACGCATGACGATGAATTACCTGCATATTTTGTATTATTATTGTTCCTCAATGTCCTTTTGTTTTTATTATTATTTTTGTTTTTTGTTTATATGCGTGTTTGTGATTGTGCAATAAATGGCTTTCTATTTCTATTTCTAAAAAATAAAAGACCCCTGGCCATCTTACCGGTTGTCCTATGGCACACTCGGACACCTTGGAAGAGATGGCCAATCGTAATTTTTTTTTAAACTAATTTTAAAGGTTGGTCTCAAGACAATTTGTTCTTTTTTCTGTTAAATAATTAATGGTTAATTGTTCAAAGTTCAATAAGAAATAAAGATTTGCAATGTAAAAAGTGTATTTTGACAGCGAAAAAACTATGGTCAATCCACACCGGTTTTACCCTAAACATGTTCAAATTTGCATTTTTTAATAAAAATTATAGTTAGTGTTTACTTTAAGTGTTATAACCTTTTTATAGAAATAAATTACTATTATGTTATTATTATTATTTGATTAAATTTGACAAACTTCGACTGTCCCGATTTTTTCGTCCTGTACAATGTAATGATCCTTACATGGAACGAAGTCGGTCAGCACTAAAAAAACTTTGATCAGTTTTATTAATTTTTATGAGCAACTCACGCTTGACCAAAAAATTGACTGCTATAATTGTTTTTGCAAAAAGACTTATTAACGGTTCCTAACATAGTTTACCTTGTGACTTCTATGGTTTATCCCCATACTGTCCCGTTAAAAAAAACACTATAGGTACCTACCAATCTTGGGGACCTCTAATCCAAAGTTTTCACAATGTCTTCACTAATATGAAGTACCACATAGTGGAATGTGTAATTGAGCTTATATATACATACATTTATAATTTTTTTTATGATATCAAGTGACGGGACGAACAAGTCGTGCGCCTGATGCTAAGCGACACGCCTGTCCATAACAGTTGCAATGTCACTCAGAGCGTTAACCTGTAACGATCTGAGGGGCACTGCCACAGCGCCAGTCCCCCTGAGACGTAAATTGATAAGTTCCGTGTGCCTGTAATTTCACCAGCACCCTTAGCCTTCAAAACCGGAACACAGTAATGCTGACATTACTGTATGGCGGCAGAAATAGTAGGTGGCAGTACTTCCCTGGACGAACTCTTTCACAAGTGCTTCAAGTCGTGAACTAAATAAAAAAAGTTGCCAAAATTTCAACACTTTGAAGAGAAGACCTGAACATCCGGGCTTTACACAATTGACTATCTTCGCTAAGTGCGAGAGTTGGATTAGCCAGTACTTCCGCAAAGTTTCCATGGAGTTTTAGCTTTTAAAAGGTACCCATTACATTGGTACCTATTATACCCCACCCGACGGCAACAACGGAGCCACAGCGATCGTGCCAGTGGCGTTCTTGTTATATAAACAAAGCTAATGTTTTGTGACACAGTAGTTACCTCTAATTGATTTGTGCCATTGAAGAGGTTACAAGCGTTCCGCTTCATGGAAATGAAACCTCACTTCTATCACGGTATCAGATACCCACAAGCGGACTTATCGTCATGACCCGCGTGTTATATAAGTAAGCTTCCATCGTCGCCATGCGTATGTAGGTAGGTACTCACTGCATTACTAAATGAAAGGGACGTTAGTTAATCACTATATAGTAAATATGCGTGAATAGGCCCATCGCCAACGCCTCGTCGCACCGTATTGTAGTCTTGTACACAGAACAGTAAAAACTCGCTAGACTTTGCTCATTTTTACTGTTGGTCGTGTAACCGACAAGTGGGTATAAACTCCCGTAACTGGCGGATTCGACGCTCCCTGCTCAATTATCCAATTCGTACAGTAATTTACATTTGTTTGCCTCAGCATGTGCATCCTTCCGACGAAGTTGCCCACTTTCAGTAGGTACAAGTAGATAAGCTAGGTGTAATGTGTGGTGATGCAGGCGCGAGTGACGACGGCGCGGGGTGTGCGGTGGTGCTGGAGACGCTGCGCGCGCTGTCCGCTGCGCGTGCGCCGCTCAGACACGACGTCGTCGCGCTGCTCAATGGCGCCGAGGAAAACATCATGCAGGCCAGCCACGCCTTCATCACGCAGCACAAGTACGCACGGCCTGTATTGGCTAATGCCACTACCGAGACAATTAATTGAAGGCTCAACGAAATATGTATCACTTTCTCTGTTGCGCTTTACGAACACCGCTTTTAGTAGCGAGTTGTCCATTACATCGAGGCTGGAAAGGTAAAACGTCTAACGTGCATTTGGAAAATTTTACAGTAGAGCGATTTAGTCATTTTTGTTTAAGAAAAAAACCATAACTTTAATTTTTTTGTTATATGGAAAAGCTGAAACTTTCCAGGTAGGTATGTACTATGCGAGCACCATGACACCGGTCGTTGTGGCGTTCTTTGGACTCCTCCAAAGAACGCCACAACGACCGGTTTCATGCTCGTCCGTGTTTCATAGGCCTCTGTCTATGTTCAGCAGTGGACAGCTTTGATGATGAATTTTTACTTATTTTTATTTAATTTAATAGTAAATTAGCACATCGTATTGTTAAACAATATTAATATAATTGAGGTAACGAGAGCAAGATTTCGAAACTCATGTTTTTGCCTTCTACGGGTCGCCAATGTAGTATACTTTCGAGTCCCGTTTGGAGTAGTGAGAGTCAGAATGGCGGGTGTCATTTCATCGCGCTCACGCCGGACACCGCGTGCACCTAATTGGCATAGCAAAACACGCTCTTTTTATTTAGCTTTACGTTTTGACTTAATTGAGAAATCGCGCGGGCGACGACGGCTAGTTTTTGGTCAGTCTATACCTATTTGGAATGAGCTAGGCAGACAGATAGTGTAGAGTGTTTACCGATGATATTTATCCGTAGTTGGGGATTTAACGTAAAGCCCCCGGCAAAGTCGCTCTTAGTTGCACAATACATTTCATTTTGCTTTGACCCAGGGACCTTCCGCTTACTATTTATAATTATTATATTACTACATAAAAACCATTGACTTACAATTATATGGACTTCGGATCCGCGCTAAAAAGTGTCCGAACTTATAGGGCGTTAAAATCGTATACAGAGCGTCATTCACGCTTTAGTCTTCGTTTGTTCGACTGACAGCGAAGCAAGCAAAATTAGACAGTACTGCGATGACATTACAATTTAAATTCAACGTTTTAGCGTTTTCATATTCCTTTACATGTCACTACGTTTAAATAGGTTGACTTGGGACATTTTTTTTCGTGGTTTTTGTATTAGACCCGTCGTCCATTTATTTGTAAGTCAATGATAAAAACAAATTAATTTTAAAAAATACAGTTGTTGAAATTATTGATGTTATGATAAGTTGTACTTTACCTTTTTTTTTTTTTTTTTGACGGGGGGGAAATCTTTATGGATACCCCTGAGCCCAGGGAGACTCAGGGGTTATGTGGGGACTCTCCCTCCAGGCTTGAGGGCCTACCCCACTAAAACCCCCCCCGGGTTTCCCTCTCGCCGGTTGAGTCGGCGCCGTGGGATCAGTGAACATTCACCACGACGCCGCCCGGCCGCCCTAGCTTACGCCAGGGCTCCCGCGCCAACGGAGGGGCGAGTCGGTTGTCCTCCGACCCGCCCCCCAGACGAGTGAGGCCGTGCAGTGCAGGCTCCGGAGTCCCTGTCCAGAACCCGCTGGTCTCACTATGGGATCAGGCGAGCAGCGAACTGCCTTCGCCTTCTCCCCGTACGTCTGCGCCGGAGCGGGTGCGCGTCCGCCGCGTCCTCGTGCACCCGCTCCGCGGCCTCCTTTTGCGACATAACCTCTGCGCAAAAGGAGGCCACCGCCTCCCAGGACTCCTCGCTTTCGAGCATGGCGGCAATCACGCTCGGCAGCGAGAGGTCCTGCCCTACAGTCCCCGTCAGAGTGCGGCGCTGCTCATCCCACCGGCTACACACCTCTAGGGTGTGCTGCGCGGTGTCATCCGCAGCGCCGCACTCGTGGCACGACGGGGACGGTTCCCTCCTCGCCACCTTGTGCAGGTAGTGACCGAAGCAGCCGTGCCCGGTCAGCACCTGCACAAGGTGGAACAACAGTGGCCCGTGGGACCGGTTTACCCACTCTACGAGGACAGGGCGGATCGCCTCTATGGTACGAGCGCCATAGGGGGGATCCGCCAAGCCCTCTTTCCACCGGTCCCGCATGCGCTGCGCCGCGAGGCGGCGCTCCCGCTCCACCTCTTGGGGAGCGGGTCGCTCGCCTCGGTCCCTCATTCCCCGCCGGTAGGTGCGGACCGCCGCCAGGACCTCTGCTTCGAGGTCCCACGGCGGAGTACCGGCGAGGACGCATGCGGCAGCGCAGGCCACCGTCATGTACGCCCTGCACATTCGCAGGGCGACCACCCTCTAGGGCCTCCTCAGCAGCGACTTCGTCGCCGCTGATAAGGCCCCACTCCAAATGGGAGCCCCGTATAAGGCCATACTCCGGGTCACCCCGGCGTATAGCCTTCTGCATGGGGCTCCCGGCCTCCCGAGGTTGGGCAGGAGCCTGCTCAACGCCGATGCGGCGCCCACTATTCGGGGAGCAAGTTGCCGGAAATGCTCCCCGAAGTTCCATCGCCGGTCCAGGACAAGTCCCAGATATTTCATCTGGGACTTGACCGGGACCGATACTTCTGCGATGGAGATGTGGGCGCCTGCCGGCACCGCCCAACCTCTACCCCTCCCGCCGAAGACGGTCACATCCGTCTTCGGCACGGCGACCTCGAGCCCCAGCAGTTGTATTCGGCGGACCACCATGTCCGCCGCTACTGAGGCTCTTCGGGCCGCCTCCTGGAAGGTGGTCCCCCGGACGGCCACCAGCGTGTCATCGGCGTACGCGATGACCGCCGTCCGGGGAAGCAGCGCGCCCCTCAGCACCCAATCATACCCCAGGTTCCACAGTAGTGGTCCTAATACGGACCCCTGGGGTACTCCGCACCTCATTGGGCGCTCGGCGCGCCTCCCTTCCCTCGTCTGGTAGTGCACCACCCTGTCCTCCAGGTAGTGCTCCACCAGACGGCTGAGGTACCTGGGGATATTATGGTACCTCAGTAAATCATCCAGCCTAGCCTTTTATTATATTTTTTAAATGTATATATGGTACCCTTAGGCTCAATTCACACTGGCGCAGAGTCGAAGCGCCGCGACGCGACATGTTTTTCGCCTATAGCATATTCCTCTCTATTTTTCCCATTATTAAGGTACACATTTGTGTTATGCAAATATGGACTCAAATATGGTTGCAGTCGAGCGGCTTCGCGCGTAAACGCGCGTTATTTGAGCGCAGAGGTGATCCGGGCGCACTAATGCGAGCGTCGACGCGCGTCGCCAGGCGTTGTAGTTGAAAAACAGGACGCGACGCGACGCTTCCGCTGTGCGCCAGTGTGAGTTGAGCCTTAGTAACTGCTATAATCATATTGTACATACGCTGTTATTGTGTAGTCAGCACATTCTGTTGCTCATTAATCTGTGATTTATGTTTTGCCTTGTTTTTTTATTTATTTTTCCACAGATATACAATTTATACTTCTTCTAAAGACATTGCCAACCTGGGCATCAGGTTGTTGGCAAGACAACGCTCTTTTACATTACCTATACGTATATCTATTCTAGTTAATTCTTCATTAATTAAGTTACATTAAATACTAGCTAATTTTCTAAAGTAAAACTGTCTTTGCTAAATAATACTGTCTCTAATCATAATATTTATTTCACAAACATTGCATCACTTAGCAATACATGTTTTAATTTCTTTTTCAACACTTTTTTACTAACTTTCGTACTTTCTCCGAGCCAGTCTATTTTATTGAATATTTTTGGTCTAACATATTTATCAGTTCTTTTTCCATAATTTTCATAATTATTATTAACTTGTTTTCGCGTCATTACATATGTAGGGGCCAATATTACGGTATGGTATTGACGCGTAATTGTTTAAATTGATAAGTTAAGTTGTAAAAGGTTTATTGGTAAAGATACAAACTCGATGAGGCTGAGGATTAACTTAACTACAACGTAACAGATACCTGTTACGTTGTAGTTAAGTTAATGAATGTCTAAATTGATTGAATGTTCGTTAAAACACTAATCAACAAACAATAAACAAACGGCCGCGGAAGTAGAATGCAAAGTAAGCGGAACTAAAAATGTGCAGTTCTAAACCGTACGTGCTGCGTAGGTCAAAAAGGAAGGACCCAAAATCAGCGGAACTAAAATGTGCCATTGTAAACCGTACAACATGCTCGTAAAACGAGATGGATAATGTGAAATTTTGTATACTATTTCGCGAGTATCAGATAATCTAATGCACAAATTAATCAAACACCACAACATTACTTACCGAATCAATGTGAATAATTTAAAACTTTAAATTTTATATCGAGTTCTTAGGTTTTCGCGATTGTTACACATAGGAAATGAAACTATTTTTCCGGATTTAAATCGCGAATACATATTTGTTTTTTTCAAACCAGTCAGTCAACCGTGACCATGGGACCTGTAAAGGGCCCGAAACGTCGGTTTGTTTGAAAAAACAAATATACGCGATTTAAACCGGGAAAAATAGTTTCATTTCCTATTTAAATTTTATATTCACACAATTAGTCAAATAGCGAAATGTGAGCAACACAACGATCTAAATTAATTTTCAAAGAGGACTGCATCTGCGTCCGCCATCTTGAATGTTTGACAACCAACTAAATGATGTGCAGCGTCTTCTTCGCACGTCAGTGAAACACAACGTGTGCATGGAACGCCGCATCTAGTACGCTAGTACATAGATATCGTCGGTTGTAGGCCACAATTCCGTAATAGACAGTCTAAATAAATGACTATTGCCAAATTGGTGTAAGCGACATTTGTCCACTTTTTAACAGTTTAGAAAATATTTGAGTAGATCATTACCAGAAAGACTTATTTTTCATCATCATTTACATTAACATAGTCAAGCTGACTGATGTCAATGTAAATGATACAATACCAGTACACTCATGTTCCATTCGGTATTTTTTTCAAAGTTGAAGTCGACTAATCGAGATACCGCCGTGCTAAAACGAGATCACACGTCACTTTTGCTCTCAGCGCCTCAATTTTGAACGATAGACAACAATACATTTTCATTTGGTCGGAAGCACTAAGCTGAAACTACCGACCGGTAAACTGATTTTGTCTGGAATGAAACGAGTCGGGGCGATTGGGGCCGGCGCATGCGATGACGGGAACTGGTTTGGCGGCGCAGGTGGGCGCGCAGCGTGCGCACGTTCATCAACATCGAGGCGTGCGGCGCCGGCGGCCGCGAGGTGCTGTTCCAGGCGGGGCCGCACGACCCCTGGATCATGGAGGTAGGCTCGCAGGCGCCCCCGCCGACGCCCAGAGAGTCACCGAGTCCGTCCTGCGGCGCAGGTGTACGCGCGCGCGGTGCCGCACCCGTTCGCGTCGTCGCTGGCGCAGGAGCTGTTCGAGAGCGGGCTCATCCCCGCCGACACGGACTTCCGCATCTTCCGCGACTTCGGCAACCTCTCCGGTACGCTGGCGCTCGGCGAAATGTTCGTCTTCGTTGCCGACAGCTGACCTCAGTCTACTATTTTTGCTTTGCTCGCTAATCGATTATCTCGCGTAAAACTTCGTAAATACATTTTCAATTGTCTATTTATCGTAATAATTTTTAGTTACATTCTTTTTTGAAGAACTAAGTAAATGAGTCGAATAATTCGCCGTCGTCAAGACACGTACGTAACTCGCAATAATAGGTATTGACGGTATTGAACTTTCAACCTTACGCCGACAGGGTAAAGTCGAAAGAACAAAAACGTAACGAGAATGGACACTCTCCGCGCCTCCCTAGATTCAGATACCGCATCAGGCACCGCACATTGACTGAACCACACCCCGGACACTCCATACGACGGTCGAAAGTTATTAACTGCTACTAATACATACAACAAGGCGCTATCTACACATGCGCAAATGTGTTACCCATCACTTTCTCGTACTATTATTACATTACATGGTCAGAGCGGCGTGGACTGAACGACAACAAGGCTGTCGGCGAACCGTTTTCGCGCAAGACAGCTTTGATGTTTGAAAATAGTTTTCATTTATTCATTACGAAACTTGTACGTTACTATTTGTAATGGTCGTGTATTGTGTTGTGGGCTGTTCATCATTATTTAAACCGGATAAAGAGAGGAGTTTCTTTCATTTTTCGGAAGATGAAACGAAGATGAGAAAAACTTATGTCTGGGGTTCGTTCAGTTATTGTTTTCTTCATTTATTTAGTGTATAATACAGATTTATTATATCAATATAATGAGGCGCCCTTACTTCATGAGCTAGTAGACAAAAGTTCTCGAACTTTCACTAATTATTAACTAGGTAATAATAAACTTGGATACGTAATTTCAAATACCTTATTTAAAAGTACCTATCCAAATTACAACATTTTCAGTGCTTTTAGTATATTTTTTAAGTAAATCTTCGATATTATTCTACGAGTAGTTAGTGAATTAATGAAAAATATAATAATAGGGGTTAAAGTATGAAATTGCCGATTTGTACTGAAAATC